CAACATGATGTCCTGTGCCACCTACAAATGGTAGTGTATTTTCCATTATATGGATTAGGTTAAGGAATAGACAAAGTATTTCTACATATCTCTTAAACTTACTTTTTAAGGCACCAGACATCAAAGTTGAAAACAAGTAAGACATAGTTAGAGTCCCTCATACAAGATGGACAGGAGCTCAGCCTGCAACCCAAACCTTTAGGAAGGAAGGCAGAGAGAGTGGATAGTCAGGCTGCTTTCATAACCTTGAATTTTTGTAAGCTATCTGCAGGAAGGTGGCCAAGAATATTTTAAGTATATCTCACTTCCTATCTACTTAAATAGAATTGATATTTCCAAATATAACAGAAAATACTCATAAGGAAGTGTTATTCCCCAAATTCCTAGACTATCTAGATATTTTATGCCACTTTCAGGAAGAATGGAAGTTCTTAAAACCTGATTTGGAAAGGTTCCAGTAAACTGGTTTTATGCTTAATGGCTGGAGAGAAAGAGGCGGGGACAAGATCGAAACCTCAGTGATCACAAAGTGTGGAAAGAGAAGCAAACTTCTCAGATCCCTCCTCTCCAAGCAGCCCAGAATCCCTCACATTGCCAGAGAAGAAGCATAAGGCTCTGGTTGGATATTGCATATTCAGCCCCAGAAAACTAGGAAACTCAGTAAAATGAGAAGCATTTTTTTATTGTAAGGTCAGTTAAAATATTTCCTTGGTAAATGTAACTAGGTATCCTAACTCTTACAAAATATTCTGTAGGCTCATTTTCATACCACCCTCCAGTGCATTTGCCTTCTGCCTGTGGGGCACTATTGGTAAATCCCAAAGCTCAATAGAATGGAAACATCTTTATCTTACAGAACTTAGTAGCTGTGTTCTAAGAAAAGAAAGATTTCAAACCAAATTCATATGCATACAAAGAGCCCAATGATTATGTTAAACAACCATTCATCATATATATCCTACCAAATACCATGCTTCCCTTGAAGAAATTCCTTTGTTTTTTGTTTTTGTTTTTTGAGATAGGGTTTCTCTGTAGCTTTGGAGCCTATCCTGGAACTCACTCTGTAGATGAGGGTGGCCTCAAACTGACATCGATTCTCCTGTGTCTGCCTCTCGAGTGCTGGAATTAAAGGCTTGTGCCACCACTGCCTAGCTTGTTCGTTTTTGAGTAGTATGTTACTGATTACTTTGGAATTTCACATCATGTACCCTGATCAAGCTCATTTCCCAGTCTTCCTTGGTCCACCCATACCCTTGTTACCTCCATTAAAAAGGGGGGAAAAGGAAGAGAAAAACAAAGTACAATTCCAATTTGTTTTGTTCACTGGAACATGATCAAACTCCCATTGGCAGCACAACTTGGGAGGCAGAAGTAGGAGGATAACTGTGACATGGAAGCCAGTCTGGCTTACAGGGATAGTTCAAGAATAGCTAAGTACAAACACACACACACACACACACACACACACACACACACACACACCTGTCTAAATAAAACCAAAAACAGAACAAAAAAGGAAAAAGAAATGAAGGAAGAAATAAAGGAAGGAAGGAAAAGAAAAACTTTGTCCTTTCCTAATCACCTGCATCCCCTCCTCCAGCCATCAACTGTGGAGAGCTATACTTTAGCATCCTTACCACAATTTTTAAGAGTTCTCTTCCTTGACTTTCTTTCTAGACAGTTACATTTGGGCAGTGGGGTAGGAGTAGAGGTAGGGTTATTACAGAAACCTTCTATGCCCCTCTTTCTCAGCTATGAGTCTGTTGTCATCTATGTCACCACAAAAGTAGCTTCCTTGCCCTTTACAGTCAGTGGGAGATCATGGACATCCACATGGCCCCTGGCATCAGCATGAGGTACCAATCTCAGCATGGTCTCTGGTGGTGATACAGACCATGGACATCAAAAGCCCTCTGCCACAGCACAGGCCAGGAACACCATCACAACCCTCAGCAGGAGCACCGGCCAACAGGGCCTCTGGAGTAGCATGGGCTGTGGACACCAATATGGTTTCTAGCAGTATCTGTGCCCATGGACATCAGCACATACCACAGACATTCAAATGCCTTCTGTGGTAACATGGCTTCAGGAAGCAGTACAGATGACAGCCATCTACCTGGCCTTCAGTGGTAATATGGGCCACAGACATCAACATGACCTCCAACTTCAGCAAGACCACACACCCCAACATGGCCCATTTGTTTTTGACCAACCATCAGAATCATGTCTCTTTAATTTTTCTTCAGTGTGGTGTCTCTTCATATGCCTGGGGCAAGACATGGTCAGGGGTTGTTCTAGAAGGATAGAAATCAGCATATTGACTATCTTTACTATTGGATGTAGGATGTCCCTCCCTCAATAGAGGCTATGGTGTGAGACCAATGGTCAGTGAATAGCAGTGTGTGCTTCCTAACACAGGTAATGGGAATCTACAGTGTAAATTCCCAAAAAAAAAGCAACAATACTCATTAAGAACTGCATTTTATTTAGTATGGAAAAAATACACCCTTGATAATATTTCAATTAAGAAATTCCAAGTAATGGTCTTATTTAGCTGTACAGCCTGCAAACCACAACCATGAACAGCATGGCAAAATATAACTAAGGGTGTAATAGTGACTCCTCAATTTTGGTATCTAATTGGACTTCAGATCCACTTAATAAGAGTGAATTAATGCTGGGAACCCTAGCCAACTGTAGTCACAACAATAGACCACTGACCCTGTGTGGCCCTTGGTCTATGATACTCTGATCTTTATTCTAATGTATTTTGATGCAGCAAATCAGTATTATTATTCTTTCAATGTTAAAATGATTGATATGAGTTGGAATACATTATTGTCCAAGACATCTTGATTTGCTAACTTCAAAATGCATCAGAGGAAAGAACTTTGAAAAGAATTTTCCAATCTTACTATGCTAATGCTACTTATACCCTTTTGCAATTTAATGTCACACTTTACATGTTTCATTGGTGTATAAAAAACCACCAAGTGGAAAAATCCATTAAATGATTCAAAGTGGAAAACTCAACCATTATAGTTTATCTCCAGAAAGATAATACTAAACCTTATCTATTTACATTTAGCCAGGGACATATAGTTTTATTGCTTACAGAATAAAAACATAGAGTCAAACTAATGATGAAGCTGTTTAAGTTTCCCTTTGGATGGGTTTATAGTCAGCCAATGTGGAGTTCACAGCAATAGGACATAACAACCCACAGGAGAGAAGAAGTGATGCAGAGAAAAGTGACGGGTTTCTCTATAAATAAGCCATCCAATTGTAATAGGAAGATGGGATTTCACAGGTGACACTGTAAGTAGATAGTGTACATAGATGTTTTCTGATGATGTAATCCCTGGAAGAGTTATCCTTTTGATCAGTTGCCAGATAAACCTCATTTCCTGTTCTTTGGGTGTACAGCCAACTTAATGTAATTTTATCCATTAGTTTTTCTTCGTGAGGTGACAAAATATCAAACGGAAGCAACTTAAGGAAAAAGATATTCATTCTGGCTCACAGTTTCAGAGAAAGAGTCCATCATGTTGAGGAAGGCTTGGAGCCTAGACCAGCTATGTCTGTAGGATGCATCAGTGCCCTATTAACAAGAGGCAAACCAGAAGGCAAAGAGTTAGACCAGAACTACTCATGTATGTAATCTTTAAAGGCCTACTTCTAGTGATGTCCACCAGCCAATCTTCTAAAAGCTCCACATTCTTCAAAATAACACTGGGAAAGACTTTTCAAACTTCTGCTTCCGTTGTCCTTTGGCTCATAGCCTCTACTTCCATCTTCAGAACACCTTCTTCCAACCCTGTTTATCTTAACCCCTTATCCTCTTCATCCTTTTTCTGATAAGGACATGTCTAGTGACAGTTATGAAACCCTACAACAGTAAGAATAATTTATTCATCTCAAGATTGGTAATCTCACTTGTCAAGTCCCCTTTTTAATACAAGGGTAACTTCAGGGTTATATAGACTACAACCTGGGTTTCTAAGAAGGCATGCTGCTTCCCTGAATATACACTCTGCACCCCGAAGATTTATTTACCTCTTCATGAAAAATACCTTCACTTCCATTTCAACCTACATAAAAATCTCAATCTACTTGAACTAATCTTCAGTTGTATATTAGAGATTAGTATAGAATGGGGCCTTGAGATAGTGTCCTCTGGCTGCCACAAAAATTAAAACAAAAAATTATCTCACTTTTCTCATTAATTTCCTCTCTAAATTTTCACAACTATTACATACACCTCTTCTATCTCCTTCATCCGCTTACCCTGCCATTGCTTCTTCTCATATCCTATCCCTGAGTCATTGCCCTGGTTATGACTAACTTCCTCTAGAGTCTAAGCTACTATGAAGCTTTGAACTGATTTTCCTGTCTCTGACGGTCATCATCATACCAGTCGGGAGGCTATTGAAGTGGGGCAGACAACTGTGATGAAATCCTGCCCTGAAATAACTGGAATAAGACAAAAATAAGAAGACATAATTCAATGTTCTAAGAGAGTCTATCTGAAGTAGTCTCACCATACACACACTTGAAAAAGTGAGATGATCCCTGTGACAATTAACTGTGTAAACATTTCATAGCACAAATCAAAACATTTTGTTTTATACATTGAATATATATGTTTATATAATGTTGCCATAGTTCAATAAGACTAAAATTTTTCAATGATAATGATAATTAGGAAGATGATAGCAAACTGTGTGTGTCAAGGAGAGCAGGAACTGGAAGAATGTAGAAAGACCACTCAAGGTCCAGTTTGAAAATCTAGGTGCACAGCATGTTCTAAATGAGGACCAGGAATGTGAGGTGGGATGAAGCACATGGGGTTGTGACAAACACTTTTGCAGTGAGTTTGAAGATCCAGTAGTACATTCAAGAGATAACATCTGACCCTGTCTTGAAAAACAAACAAACAAACAAAAAACTAAAAGAAAAAAACCAAAAAAACAAAAAAAGAGAGATAACATCTGTTTTGGTTTCTGTGATGAATCAAACCAGCTCACCATGACTGAAATGAAAACACTCGAACACCTGAGAAACTGTAGGATAGACTTGGGGGATGCAAATGTGCAGAGCCTTTTGTGTAGCATTTTACTCTTTTACCAGGTCTTGTTAGCAGTAAAATACTTGTTTCAGAGATTTTGTGTCATGCGTGGAGCTGAGGGACCAGACGAGGAAAATTAAGCAATCTCTTCACTCAAGTCCAGGGTGAATCAAGATCTGAGAAAATAATCCAAGTCTTTGAAGACATCAGGATATTTCTGATCCTTTTATAATGTAACGGAACTACTCAAGATTGGGTGTCATCCTCATTTTCCTAATGAAGCTGTTCTTTAATCTTTTTTTTTAAAGCAATAAGCACTTGGTTCTGTTGTTGCAGAATTTACAAACGAGATCTGAGATAGAGACATCGATAGGCAGCTGCTCATCTTCAGAATGTAGGTAAACTCGTTAGCTTAGATAAGCTCAGCTGAGGACAAGTGTAAAGTGGGAGAAGAGAACCGGAAATACTAAGGACCTATCCCATATGTAAAGTTGACTGGAAGATCTCCAGGAATCAAAATGATACGAGGGAAGGAAGACGTCATGGAAGGAAGTTAAGAATATCCAGTTACAGAGTTAAGAATATCCAATTACTCCATGGGGAAGGGTAGTTCAGAAGTCATCATCCTTCATGGTATGGAGCAGTCAGAAGCTCATTGTAAGGGATTAAAGAGTCTATAGATGGTAAGGAAGCAAATTACAGTATGTGGTTGGGTGAAAACATTAACAAAGCTTCAAGATGAAAATAAGGAAAGAGATGAAAGATTAAGAAAAGTCTGGTCATTTAAAAACCTTATTTTTCTTCTTTATGTAGGTGACAGATAGGGCTTGAAAGTCAGGAAAATATTTGTTTTTTTAATTTAGAAAGTAAATAATGGGTAAGAGGGGTAGAAAAAAAGAGGATCTATAATATGAACAAAATTCTCTGAACACAAATACAGACCTGTGCTTCTGCAAAAGAAGATGGAGGGATGATGTTTTAATACTAGCTTGAATCTCCCAGAATAGATGAAATCCTGTTTGACAACCATGATTGTCTCTATGAAATCGAGGCAATGTCATTAAATTCTGGGGAAAAAAATGTGAAAATGTGGGGTAGCTATTCTTAGGAATGGTTTCAGACACAGGGTCTCTGAATGGAACTAGAGCATTTGACTCCAAAAATAGCAAATTGGAGCATTCCATCAGGAAACTCACAGTTGTGATATTTTACTCTAGCTTTTTCTATAATGTAGAATTGTAAGTTTTTCTGAAAATATACTGGGGGCAAAGTTCAGATGGAAAAGCATATCTCCAGTACAGAACTCTCCACACTGTTTTTCACTTACTGTGATGAAATCAAGAAAATCTGGGGAATTTCCTTCATATATTTGGATCTTCCAGTTCTTCTGTATTTTTGAATAAGGAATGTCCCTTACCATTCACTTCACTAATTGTTAGAAATTAAAGCTTAAAATCAAAGTACCTGGTTTAGAGAATACATTTTCTTCGGAGTAGTTGCTGGGAAAGTGACCAGGTCCAAAACCCAGATAGAGATACTTTTTGAAAATGCAAAGTGCATAAATGGTCTCAAACATATTCTGGGTGCAACTCAACTGTAACCCTAAGTCCATAGGACATGATAAAAACAACCTCATCTTCCTTGCATGAATTTATTCATCTATAGCACAGGAGTCAGAAAATCCACCTCTATCCATTTGTATAGGTGATAGAAAGATGAGAAAGTGTAGAGTTTCAACCAATATCGCCCATTAATTGGGACTATTTTGTGCTTTATCAGGAAGAATGACTTAAAGAACCAAAAGATAAAACATCGCATACATGAGGTTACCACCTAGAAAAGGAAGCCATAAAGCTAAAGATAGACATCACTCAAGCCACACTTTTAGCCCAGGGCAAAACTGGTTTGCTGTCTGTTGTTGAAGATGAAAGAAGAGCACTCTAAAATCCTGATGTGAATTGCAACTGTGGGTGTGACAGCCCCAAAGCCTCACTCTGCTAAGCTGTGTGACGCGTCGCAGCACCGGTTCACCGGGATAATGCATAGTTTTCATTCCCAAAGCTAATTTCACTCAAACATCATCACATTCTCTCCTCTGCATTGATGACTTTGAAAACAAGCCAAGTAAAAACCACTGTTTTCATGTTATGTCACTGTATACTTTAATCATTGCTAGTTTTGAGAAAACCAGCAATTCCTCCCGAATGCACAAAAAACTTTATCTTCCATTAGTGTCCTTGAAAAACCCTGATGTCTAAAACTCAGCAAGAAATGTCTCCATGGGAGGACACTGCTATGTTTTTCCTAAGGGAACCAAAGCACAGCCTTGAGACCACCCTCCCTAGTAAAAGATGGAAAACATCAGGAACAGTGCAGCATCCAGCACCTCTCCACGGTGGAGCTGTGAGAAGTTATTTAGCACAGGTGTTTAATTATGATGCATTAGGGAAATGGGTGACGCTCAATGGCCCTCAAACACAAGCCTCCACCTGTGAAGTGGCCGTCCATTGGTTTGTGCAGGGCTCATATTGGGAGAAGTGATTCTGCTCCAGCTCTGCTCAAGGGCCATTCTTGTCTTGGTGTAACCAAGTACACTGCCAGGAAACCACGGGTTTTCTCCACATGAGCGCGTCCATTATGCAAGTGTGTAATCTGCATCTGGGTTGTCTCCCGTGGAATTAGACACTTCTGAAAGCAAGTGCAAAGCAGAATTATTCAAGAGGTCCTGCAGGGAAAATCTCTCCAGGTACCTTCCACAACTGAGGTTGTGAAAAGCAAGGAAAACAAAAATGCTGGTCAACTGACCAAGGAAGATGATGGTAATTCATCCTGAAATAATAGTCTGTCCTCTACTGCTGGCTTGGTCCTAGGGAATGCTATTTATTGAGCTGAACCTGGCCTAAGAACTTTTTAAGTATTATCTCAAATTAAATTTTATTGGAAAGATACTGTTGCAATAGCTAGCATTGCAATAACTTTACATTGTCTCATAACAAAGTCAATGTTTATCTTTTCCTTGATTATGTGACTTTCTCAGACTCTGTGCATAACATTCGAGAGCCATGACAGTGTGAGTGAACAGTGGAGTGGGCACCATTTGTTTTCTGAATTCCAAAGCCTACCATCTACTCATTCTACCTCAGCATAGTTTTAATTAATTAATTTGTTTATTTTATGTGCCTTGGTGTTTTGCTTGCATGTATGTCTGCATGAACATGCAGGATCCCCTAGAACTGGAGTTACAGATAGTTAATGAGCCACCATGTGGGTGCTTAGAATTGAACCCAGGTCCTCTGGAAGAGAAGTCAGTGCTCTTAACTGGTGAGCCATCTCTCCAGCCCCACATAGATTTCCTTTAATAAGAAATATTTGTGTTTTTATTACATTTATGCCTGTGCATGCATGCTTTCATGTTTCTATGCATAGGCCAGAGAACTCTGGGGAGCTGGTTTTCTCCAAATAACATATTGACCTCGGGGATAGAATTCAGGAGCTAGTTCAATACGGAGAATATGGAAGATAAAGGATGTAGAACACCCATCCAATAAATTCCACAGAACAGTTGTGTATGTAGTATTTCATTTGCAGTGAGGAGCTGTTAGACACAACTTAAGAATCCAGCACTGCACACTCAAGACAAGCCAGTACAGTGTCTGACCCTATACCACGCCTGAGAATGGCTTCACAAGTAGCAGACACACAGGAGCAATGCCAGGATGCAGGAGCCCTCTGCGCAAAACATACTGCTAGCACCATGGTAGCTGCCCATTTCCTCTTTTAAGAGGCAGAATTTTGTTCTTGGAAGTTCTGAAAACAATAAAACAATACGGGGAAAGGTTAATCTTTAGCAAATAAAATGAAGTAATTTCTTTGTAATCTATTGGTCAAGACTACCCAGTTTCAAGGTTTTCAAAGTATGTAAATTACAAATAGTCATGTCAATTAGTTTTATTCCTCCCCTGAAAATATATCAGATCAGAGGAGATTCATCAGTACCTGCCATTTCAGATAATCGCTCAAAACGGCTGATGTTCTTTTCATACCACTATTCACAACAAGGTACTTATCAATATGTCCTTTTATGTGTTTCTATGAATCAAACCCAGTTCCTCACACATACTAGATGAGCATTCTATCAATTTACATTCCCTATTAAAAAGAACGCTAAATCCACCAGAGACATTTAAGGATAAAATTTATATAGCCAAGCTTGGCCAAATTGAATATTTAGTATCTATGGATTTTCTTACACACTAATTGTACTTCAATATTTTGAGTCTTGCAAACATTCAGAATGGCTGCATGCTAGTAGTAGTTTTTAAAGCTCAATGCTGTTACATGTGATGGATGCTGAGCGTAATGAACATGTGGGGTATGAAGGCTTTTTAATGGAAGCACCTAGCTATTCCCTATCTTTGGGGACTCAGAGAATGTGAGGTTCAGTACCGGGGTCAGTGACATGCTGCAACATTTGATCTCTCCCAGTTGATACAGCACCAGTTTTCCCTCGCCTCAAATTCTTCCCCATGATTGACAGTTTCATCCATTCCTTCCTGGGGCTACTATTGAAATTCCTTTGTACTTGTAGAAGCAAGTTTGCTGGTTCAAGAATTTTGGTTTAGCTCTGCCTTGAAGACTCGTCAGCAGCAAATTAGGATAAGGAATCCTAATTTATGTCTCAAAGGCCTTGATGGGAGTGAGAAGTATTTTTATTTACATTCTTCCCCACAAAGTGTGTCAAGTCAAGATGATGAACCACAGCACACTACTGTACAATTATTAGAAAATTCCAGAGGGAACTGTGAATTATGAGAAGCAAGGGCAAATGTGGATAATGCCAGCTAGCCCTAATAAGGCTTCTAGATTGTGTGCAGCAGCTGGGAGCACTGTGGAGGGAAACAATGGACACTTGACTTTCTCTTGTTGACGGTTGTGTGCATATTATATATGTGTGCATTTTATTATATAAAATAACACAACTATCACAAATATTTCT